TCAAATGAAGACATGAGTATACTATGATGTGAATTAATTATCATTTATCAAAGAGAACGGGATGGTGTTAAACAATTAATTTGGTTGATGATATATAGTTCACAGGCCGGGGGACTCCAATAAATGCTTTGCAGGTATGACTTTATGACTATAACAAAGTTAACATAGGGAAATATTTTTTCAGCTCAAGAGGAAAATAAGAATGGAAGAAATAAGCGGCAGTTATTAGCAATTGTTTTGTCTACAACCGCAACTGCTATTCTGCTTCTAGGCTGCTTTTTGATATATTATTTCTGGCTAAGAGAGCTCAAATCAAAAGGTAATGTCCAGCGATAAGTGTCACTTACCATAGAGTAATGAACGATTATCTAATTTTATTGCCAAATGATGTTTCTTTGATATGGACATTGGATTCGACTTATAAAGGATCGAAATACAGAATAAAAAATTTATGCACATCTCGTAGGAAATGTGCGTAAATTTTGTAGGAAAAAAAACTTTTCCAAGGGCAATATGTCATAGGCAAACTTACTAAAATAGAGGAAAAACCATTTTTCTTAGGAATATCTTTGCCCTTGGAAATAAATACATTATTGTTGGTAAACTGACACGTTCAACTTCATTTTATTACTATATATTGTATATTTTTAGATATATGTTTAAAGGAAATATAACATATTTTTTACCACATCAATAATGCAATAAAAATTAAGAAATAGCGTAACAACACCACATCAATTCTGCAATAAAATTCGCTGTCCCATGCAATTACGCAGAAAAGTTATAGCAATTTACCTTATACGACAATTAACTTTTGAGAATTCCCATTCATTAGAATGTTAGTTATTGCTAGAAAATGCAACTCAAGGCCACGAGCAGCCAACTCAATGGCTCTTGATCGCCTTCCACATCTGTACTGAAGAAATCAAAATGGAATCATCCTTACCACGTTTCATCTGTATGTGTTGGTAATTTCAATATATTTCATCATTATACCAGAAAAATTATAAAACATAAATGGACACAATGTAGTTGTGCTCAATAAATTTGAAAGGTAAAATTTCTGAAAAATGATTCAAAATGAAATTATCTTACGCAATCCTACAAAAAGGCAAGAATCAATGATCAAAGCACATCATACGTAGTGTATAAAGTGGCACAAAACTTAGAACATTGTTTGTAAGCAAGTAAGGCTATGAATTAGAAAGATCTAAAACAGAGTGAGAAATGAAGTTAATAATAAATGTAAATAATAAAAAAAGAGCGATGTTTACCAAAGTTTGATCTAGCTTTCTGGTACAAGTTCTTGGCAGATTCTTTTGCACTTCTTAATATTTCAGACAAAAGGTCAATACAGAACTTCATGTCATAGTTAAATTGAATTTTCCATCATGGAAAGTAAAAAAAAATTCTATGGTACCTGTAAGCTAACAACGCCGGCATACATATTCCTTAGGCTGTGCCCACCAGAGACATCAACTCAATAGAATAAATGAAGATCATTAGTTTGGAATGTGCTTACAGATAAAGAATTGAATCCCAATGGATATCATAATTTAAGAGAATTACGCATCAAGGAACATTCCACCATCACTTAGGCATTTGACTTTAGTTGTGTTTGGAAATAGGTCCCGAATCTCATCACAATGAAGCATGGATGCTAAATCCCCAGCAGAGCATCCAGAAAGAAGATCCTCAGCAGATGTATGCATAAAACTATCATAAATTCAAAGCTAAGCAAAAAAATAAAATACAAAATAAGAAAGAAAAATGAATTTTAAATGCAAATTAAACCTGTGTAGCATTTTGCATTCCCTTGGCCATGAAATGTTCTATAGCAGCTAACCAGATACGCTGTCCTCGGAAATTAAGTTGGGCAGCATCATTTCAACTATCCCCACTAAAAGATGCTCCATCACAGTAACGTAGCTTAACCCAGTTCCAGTTGAAGAAATCTGAAACCATAATGAGGCCATCCAAAACATGTACTCCTTAAGCATAAATAATTATCAATCTGATTTAGACAGGTAAGTAAAAGCATGTAGATTTAGAGAAATTAACCAGGATTTTAAATAAACAGTCACCAAAACTCACTAATCACATGGTGTAGTTTATTCAAGATCTATATATGTACCTGAAATATAAATTTAGATCAGCAGCAAACCAAATTGAAACGTGGAACTTATCGTAAAATTTAATGAAATGTTTAAAGAGTCCCTAAAATTGGAGAGCCAAAACAATGAATTCAGTGTCATTTTACAAACTTTGGATATATAACTGCTTAGTATTTCATCTATACTTGATATTTTCATGAACAAAAATGTATACTAACATAGACGAAAACATTACAACGAATCAAAATTTTTAAGAATGAGAAGAAAAACCTTGTGATAGGAATGCATATACAATGCGTCTGAAGTTGTGATAGGAGGTGATCATATCCTGAAATATCAATGCAATTTCAGAGATGACATACAAACCTCTGTGAATCAGTCATAATAACAGGTTGTCGAAAAACGATCGGTGAGGCAGCAATGTCGGTTACAATGAAGTTTATCTAGTCCATCAGAATGACAAAGCAATTGACAATCCTGAAGTAGAATGAAACAACAAATTAAATACAGTAATATCCACTCACGCTATTAATTACAAAATTAATCATGAAATTAGTCATTTCATTAATTGACAATCCTGAAATAGAATTACGGAAGAATAACCATTGAAGACAAAACATAAGAACAACACAAATTGGCCTTCACAAGAATTTCCAAAACAAACTACTCGATCAACCAGAACACATGCAAACTAGGAATACTTTCCCCAAAGCTTGACCATTACATCAATTATAAATGCACCCCATAACTAGAGCAACAATAACCAACACCATCAAACTGTTAAAAGACAATTATAAATAACAAACCTCATATAAAGTACAGATTCATTGCTCTGAGACATCTAATAAATAGTTAACAATGGTGTCTACATGAAATTCAAAGTAAATTTGATACCTCAGGCTGTAATTCAACATAATCAACATCTGCCACCATTTCCTCCGCATTACGGACACTATTAAGCAACTCGAACCCTCCGATGAACTACAAACAACAATAGCATCATTCCATTATCAGTGCACAAAATTGAAGACTCGTGGTGATCTAGGACGGGAAAAATAAGCCGATCGTGGCGCCCCGCAAGAAGCTCGCTTAGGCCGAGAGAGCTACTCTCGCTAATGAAACTGCGTCACTTACATAGCCGCCACAAGCTACTGCACTGATGAGTACTAATTGCCTCCATGGCGCAAGCACGAGCTGCAGACGACGGCTCCGCCATTGGCTTGCGGCTGTCGCTGGGATATATATTGGATCTTAAAACGACGCAGTTCCACAATTTCATGACCTAAGCAACTAATTATGTATTGGATAATCTCTGTTGAGTCCCTTTTATGCTCACATTATTTCAATTTAATCACATTAGAATATTAAACAGTCCCAAAAATTTTAAATTAATATCAACTATATCCTTATAATCAAGGAATTTCCCAGGGCAATTCTATGTATTTTCCAGGGCAATATTACCATGGGAATTGATCAAGTATAATTATATCCTTTTCCTAGGTAGTTTTTTTACCCTTGAAAAAATTCTTATTTTCTGGGGCATTATTTTTAAGGCCCTAGGAAATTGTTCAGAGGAAATAGAACCTTTTTTTTTTTATGATGATCATGTTTCTCCTAAATATGTTGTTATTCTTAGTTTAAACAACAACACGACTTCACAAACTAACACCTCTTTGATAAGTTGGAAGAGACTTTATAACAAATAAAACTAATTCCCTAATTCTACCAAATATAATGTTGATAGTTTTGGGGTTCTACTTCTACTTCTACATATCATATCATAATTAGTGGTAAAAGGATTTCACTTTTATATGACCCAGATGAAAGTTTGAGCCTTTGGATTATGTAAGTTAATTTCCTTAAAACTAATATTGGTTCTAATATCTATGGATCAAGATGTAGTTACCACCAGAACAGATCTTTTTGATAATTTTTTAGATGAATAAGTAAAAGATACATCTTTATCATCATGTAAATTAACGAATTGCATGCATATATATAGCTTCGTTATGTATCCAGAAAAATCTAGTTGATATACAGTCCAAGTTTTTTTCTATATGCTCAAACTAAAAACTTCAGTTAGGACTTAGGACGATTCTAAAAAAGTCTGCTTTCTCAAAACTAAAAAAAATATACAAGATAATTACAAGGTTATTCAATGAGCACTCTATCAATTAATGACGTGACAAACAAGGCGTGGTAATTAGATGAAATGTAAATCTTTTTTTTTTTTTTTTTTTATAAATTTGTCTTTGAGTAGGTCAAGATTTTATTATTCATATTTGCAAATGCGTTTTCACATGGCCTTAAAACAAGTCAACCTCTTTTTGGCTCAATGTGTTTTCTCTTCTTTGCTTACCTCACCAACATCCCTTTCTAGCGGCGACTTCATTATATTTTTCACTTGATTTGATTTCATATTGTGCAAAGATTGAAGTTTCTATCACGTATAAAATAGTGTCGGCAACAAATACAACAGTGGTTTCCTGATTCGTGTATAAATGTAACACAGAAGAGTTAATAGATAAGAAATTGGGTTCAAGCAGCTTTTCAAATGGTGCCCAAGATTAGTATATTTGTTGTTTTCTATGCTTTCCTCTCTCTACAATTGTGCCCTTCAATAGCGCAAACCAATTGGATCAGGGTTGGTTATTACAAGTATTCCTCAGAATACGGATTCCCCATTTCCAAAATTAATTCTGCTTTCTTCACTCACATTGTTTGTGCTTATACTGTTGTGAATTCCACCTCCTACCAACTCTCTTTATCACCAGCTGATGAAGAAAGCTTGTCCACCTTTGCAAAAACTATGAAAAAAATTAACCCATCAGTCGCTATACTGCTATGTGTTGGGGGTAGCGGTGTAAGTTATTTAACCTTTCTTCAATGGTAAGCAATTCTTCTTACAGAAAATCCTTCATCAATTCCTCGATAAAAGTAGCCAGACTTCACGGTTTACAAGGAATAGACTTCTATTGGAATTATCCAGAGACAAACTCCGATGGGTTCAACATGGGAATACTACTTCAAGAGTGGAGAGCTGCTATTGATTCAGAGGCAAGAAACTCAAACAACTGGCAACTGATCTTGACAGCACAGGTTAAATATTCACCATCTGTGTCTTCAATAAGTTACCCTACTGAGAAGATGCAACAACATTTGGATTGGGTCCATGTTGTGGCTGAAGGATACACCACTCCTCTCATGACAGACCTTACAAGCGCTCATGCAACTCTGTATGACCCAAGTACTTTTGTTAACACAGATTACGGTATAAGAGAATGGATCGATCGAGGATTATCAGCTAATAAACTGGTTTTGAACTTGCCTTTCTATGGCTATTCATGGAAGCTCGAGAATCCTGTGAACAATGGAGTTGGTGCACCAGCAACGGGACCTGCCATTTCAACGGACGGATTCTTGACCTACAAGCAAATAAAATATTACATCAAGCAATATGCTCCTGATGTTCGTGTTAGGTACAACTCAACTTATGTGGTGAATTACTGGACAGAGGGAACAACTTGGATTGGGTTTGATGATGTTGAGGCTATTACAGCAAAGGTTTCTTATGCCAAGGAGAAGAAGCTGCTTGGCTACTTTGTGTGGGAAGTCTCTTTCGATGATAATTGGGTGCTTTCTAGAACTGCAGGTAAGCTATGATCAAAAGAAACAAACTACTGTATGCAATCAATACTATCACTCTCCTATTCATTCGAATTATGATCTTTATCCCCGCGCGCTGTAGTTAACATATTGTGTTTTTTTGTTTTTGTTTTTGTTTTTTGTTTTTTGGCCCCAGCTGGAGTTGCTATAAATGATTCTTCAGTTCACGAAGATAATAAAAATGGACAAAATAATAATTCTTCAGTTCACGAAGATGATAAAAATGGACAAAATAATAAGAGGCCTTTGTTATTAGTCCTTTTTCCTACAACAGATAAAAGGTAAGTTCCTCAGTTTCTTTACAATAAATAAATAATAAGCAGTTTAATGTGTATGTGTTATTATTATTATTATTTTTTCTCTCTCTCTTTCTCGGTTGACAGGGATGGTGGGGTTCACTAAAGAATCCGAAGATAAAGCAAATAAAGAGGCATCTGCTTTTAATGGAAATGTTCCCAATCTGATAGAATATACATTGGGTGATATAAAGGCAGCAACCAATGGATTTTCAATCGAAAATAAGCTTGGACAGGGTGGATATGGCCCTGTTTATAAGGTACCTTTAGTAAAGCTATATATTTATCATTAAATATTTAATCTTTAGCTTAATATTTTTGGCATGCTATAATTTTAATTTAACTTTTAAAGGAATAAAAAAGTTTAAAGAATTTAATTTATCTATTGAAAGGTACCAACTAAAGTGTATTTTACTAGGGAATATTATCTGCTGGACAAGTAATAACAGTGAAGAAACTTTCAAAAACATCCATGCAAGGATTTGAGGAATTCAAGAATGAGGTTATGCTTACTGCCAAGCTGCAATATATAAATCTTGTCCGAGTTTTGGGTTTTTGCATTGATAAAGAAGAAAAGATACTCATCTATGAATACATGCAAAACAGAAGCTTAGACTCTTACCTTTTCGGTTAGAATTTTACATTAAATTTTCGCATACAACATTTCAATATTTTTTTCCTCCTTTGGGATTAGCTTGGAGCAGTTTCAGTCTTGATGATTAACTTATGATTAAATTTAATGCAAACCCCATTAGACGATTTGTTTTGGATTGGAAAAAACGTGTGCATATCATTGAAGGAGTTACACAAGCATTTTTATATCTTCAAGAATACTCAAGATTTATTGTTATTCATCGAGATTTAAAAGCTAGTAATGTCTTGTTAGATGGAGATATGAAGCCAAAAATATCAGATTTTGGCATGGCTAGAATATTTAGTAAAGATGATCTTGAAGCAAACACAAGCCGTATTGTCGGAACAATGTAATTTTCTATACTTCTAATGCTATATAATTGTCTCAAGATTTCTCATGCCTTATATATTACTTTGTTTTTGTTTTGTGATAATCCAATGCAGTGGTTATTTTCCTCTTGAGTATGCTAGAAAAGGCATATACTCTACCAAATCCGATGTTTATAGTTTTGGGGCTCTACTTCTACAGATCATAAGCAGCAAAAGGATTTCCCTTTTACACGGTCCGAATGAATGTTCGAGCCTTTTAGACTATGTAAGTTAATTTCTTTGAAAGCTAATATTGGTTCCTGGATCTATGTATCAAAATGTACTTACCAATAAAATAAATAATGTTATAATTTCAGGCATATGAGCTATGGAATGATGGTAAAGGCATGGAGTTTATGGATGAATCACTAGATGATACATATTCATCTTGTAAATTACTGAAATGCTTGCAAATAGCTCTATTGTGTGTCCAAGAAAATCCAACTGATTGACCATCAATGTTGGAAGTTTTCACCATGCTAAAAAATGTGAACACTAATATAATGATTCCAAAGAAGCCCGCTTTCTCAAAACAAAATGAACAGAATAAACATACAAGAAAGTTGGAAGGTTATTCAGGGAGCACCTCATCAATTAATGATGTAACAATTTCAGATTTTTTAGCCAGATAAATTATATACTATTAGCTTTTGAGGTTGGTAATTGATAATTTGTGTCTTGGAATTCTGGCAAATTAAACAGCATTCATCCCTTTGCTGCAGTGTGGGTTAAATTTATTAAGTGTTGTTTTGTAATACCCTATTCTATAATTGTTACTCTAAATTTTCAAATAGCATAAACCAAAAATCTGTGCAACAGAAAGCACATTTCTTAGGCAAATGTGCAAAAGCAGAGCATAAATAGAAATTTTGGAAAAGCAGAGCATCAATGGATGGCCTTAAAACTGGCGCAAGAAAATATGAACTTGTTCTTTCACCAGAAAAAGGATTTGTTCATCTGTCTCCAACAATCCTTTTCATCGCTTAACTTCAACAGGGCTCCAATATTAAAGTTAACACAGATACCTTCACCATCTATTTCAGCATTTAAAGAATTCATAAAAACGATTTGAAGAACTGGAGCTTTTACTCGGCTAGTAGTTCTTGACACAACCCATCCTGAATTTCCTCATCCCGTAGGATCCGGGCGCTCCCACAAGACTCGGATACCCGAGACGTGTCATGTAGAAAAACTGTGAAACCTGTTTAAAGACATACTTTTCCTGAATAACATCATAGTATTTCCATTTCCAACATCTCAAAAAAAACAATCATATGTATTGGATAATTCTGTTGAGTCCCTTTTATGCTCACATTATTTCAATTTAATCACATTAGAATATTAAACAGTCCCAAAAATTTTAAATTAATATCAACTTATCCTTATAATCAAGGAATTCCCCGGGCAATCTATGTATTTTCAGGGCAATATTACCATGGAATTGATCAAGTAAATTATTCCTTTTCCTAGGTAGTTTTTTACCCTTGAAAAAATTCTTATTTTCGTGGCATTATTTTTAAGGCCCAGGAAATTGTTCAGAGGAAATAGAACCTTTTTTTTTTATGATGATCATGTTTCTCCTAAATATGTTGTTATTCTTAGTTTAAACAACAACAGACTTCACAAACTAACACCTCTTTGATAAGTTGGAAGAGACTTTATAACAAATAAAAAACTAATCCCTAATTCTACCAATATAATGTTGATAGTTTGGGGTTCTACTTCTACTTCTACATATATACATAATTAGTGGTAAAGGATTTCACTTTATTGACCCAGATGAAAGTTTGCCTTTGGATTATGTAAGTTAATTTCCTTAAAACTAATATGGTTCTAATATCTATGGATCAAGATGTAGTTACCACCAGAACAGATCTTTTTGAATTTTAGATGAATAAGTAAAAGATACATCTTTATCATCATGTAAATTAACGAATTGCATGCATATATAGCTTCGTTATGTATCCAGAAAGTTCAAGTTGATAGAGCGTCTATGTTTTTTCTATATGCTCAAACTAAAAACTTCAGTTAGGACTTAGGACGATTCTAAAAAGTCTGCTTTCTCAAAACTAAAAAAAATATACAAGATAATTACAAGGTTATTCAATGAGCACTCATCAATTAAGACGTGACAAACAAGGCGTGGTAATTAGATGAAATGTAAATCTTTTTTTTTTTTTTTTTATAAATTGTCTTTGAGTAGGGCAAGATTTTATTATTCATATTTGCAAATGCGTTTTCACATGGCCTTAAAACAAGTTAACCTCTTTTTGGCTCAATGTGTTTTCTCTTTGTACCTCACCAACATCCCTTTCTAGCGGCACTTCATTATATTTTTCACTTGATTTGATTTCATATGTGCAAAGATTGAAGTTTCTATCCGTATAAAATGTGTCGGCAACAAATACAACAGTGGTTTCTGATTCGTGTATAAAGTACACAGAAGAGTTAATAGATAAGAAATTGGGTTCAAGCAGCTTTTCAAATGGTGCCCAAGATTGTATATTTGTTGTTTTCTATGCTTTCCTCTCTCTACAATGGCCTTCAATAGCGCAAACCAATTGGATCAGGGGGTTATTACAAGTATTCCTCAGAATACGGATCCCCATTTCCAAAATTAATTCGCTTTCTTCACTCACATTGTTGTGCTTAACTTTGTGAATCCACCTCCTACCAACTCTCTTTATCACCAGCTGATGAAGAAAGCTTGCCACCTTTGCAAAAACTATGAAAAAAATTAACCCATCAGTCGCTATACTGCATGTGTTGGGGGTAGCGGTGTAGTTATTTAACCTTTCTTCAATGGTAAGCAATTCTTCTACAGAAATCCTTCCTCAATTCCTCGATAAAAGTAGCCAGACTTCACGGTTTACAAGGAATAGACTCTTTATTGGATATCCAGAGACAAACTCCGATGGGTCAACATGGGAATACTACTTCAGTGGAGAGCTGCTATTGATCAGAGGCAAGAAACTCAAACAACTGGCACATGATCTTGACAGCACAGGTTAAATATTCACCATCTGTGTCTTCAATAAGTTACCCTACTGAGAAGATGCAACAACTTGGATGGGTCCAGTTGTGGCTGAAGGATACACCACTCCTCTATGACAGACCTTACAAGCGCTCATGCAACTCTGTATGACCAAGTACTTTTGTTAACACAGATTACGGTATAAGAGAATGGATCGATCGAGGATTATCAGCTAATAATAAATGGTTTTGAACTTGCCTTCTGTGGTATCATGGACGCTCGAGAATCCTGTGAACAATGGTGTTGGTGCACCAGCAACGGGACCTGCCATTTCAACGGACGGATTGACCTACAGCAAATAAAATATTACATCAAGCAATATGCTCCTGATGTTCGTGTTAGGTACAACTCAACTTATGAGGTGATATTCGGACAGAGGGAACAACTTGGATTGGGTTTGATGATGTTGAGGCTATTACAGCAAAGGTTTCTTATGCCAAGGAGAAGAAGCTGTTGGCTACTTTGTGTGGAGTCTCTTTCGATGATAATTGGGTGCTTTCTGAACTGCAGGTAAGCTATGATCAAAAGAAACAAACTACTGTATGCAATCAATACTATCACTCTCCTATTCATTCGAATTATGATCTTTATGAAATTAGTCATTTCATTAATTGACAATCCTGAAATAGAATTACGGAAGAATAACCATTGAAGACAAAACATAAGAACAACACAAATTGGCCTTCACAAGAATTTCCAAAACAAACTACTCGATCAACCAGAACACATGCAAACTAGGAATACTTTCCCCAAAGCTTGACCATTACATCAATTATAAATGCACCCCATAACTAGAGCAACAATAACCAACACCATCAAACTGTTAAAAGACAATTATAAATAACAAACCTCATATAAAGTACAGATTCATTGCTCTGAGACATCTAATAAATAGTTAACAATGGTGTCTACATGAAATTCAAAGTAAATTTGATACCTCAGGCTGTAATTCAACATAATCAACATCTGCCACCATTTCCTCCGCATTACGGACACTATTAAGCAACTCGAACACTCCGACGAACTACAAACAACAATAGCATCATTCCATTATCAGTGCACAAAATTGAAGACTCGTGGCGATCTATGACGGGAAAAATAAGCCGATTGTGGCGCCACGCAAGAAGCTCGCTTAGGCCGAGAGAGCTACTCTCGCTAGTGAAATTGCGTTGCTTACATAGCCGCCACAAGCTACTGCACTGATGAGTACTAATTGCTTCCTTGGCGCAAGCACGAGCTGCAGACGACGGCTTCGCCATTGGCTTGCGGCCGTCGCTGGGATATATATTGGATCTTAAAACGACGCAGTTCCACAATTTGATGACCTAAGACCATCTCCAACCCATTGCACCAATTTGGTGCAAAATTGCGCCAAATTGGTGCAAAATTTGGTGTAAAACACTGTTCCATCTCCAACCCACAATACCAAATATTGCACCAAAAAGAATATTTTTTAGAATATTCTTTTTTTTCTTTTATTGTAATAATCAACAATTAATCTATTTCACTCATTATTTTTGTATATATAAATTAAATATTAAGAATGATATTTTTATTAAATAATAATTATTTTGAAAATTATACTAATTTAATAGAATTAAGCATTTATTTAATCAAATAAACATTACATTTAATATAGAAAAACATTACATCTAATATAAAATGATACAAAAAAATTGTTATTTTAGTTTATGTTGTATTTTCTTTTAATTTTAGTGTTTTTAAATTAGTGTTAATTTTTATTTTGAGTTATTGTAGTTTAACATTTGCATTGAATAAAGTTCTATTTTTAATTTTTCATCATTTTTTTAATTATATCATTATTATGAATTTATTATTATAAATAATAATCAAATTAAATTAAATACAAATAATCAAATTTNCGGAATACTAAATTGTTATTTTAGTTTATGTTGTATTTTCTTTTAATTTTAGTGTTTTTAAATTAGTGTTAATTTTTATTTTTAGTTATTGTAGTTTAATATTTGCATTGAATAAAGTTCTATTTTTAATTTGTCATCATTTTTTAAATTATATCATTATTATAAATTTATTATTATAAATAATAATCAAATTAAATTAAATACAAATACTCAAATTTGGTATGATTTTTGGTGTAAAATTTAATACTCAAATTTGGTATGATTTTTGGTGTAAAATTTAATACTCAAATTAACTTAACAAAATAAAAAAAAAACAAAAAAATCAAAATTAAAAAAAATATATATTTTTTTATTGTGCTACAGTGCTGCGCCATTTTGGTGCAGTGTTTGGCGTGGGTTGGAGTACCAACCCACGCCAAATTGGTGTTTTTTGCGCCAAGTGGGCGTGGGTTGGAGATGCCCTAAGGATAATATCTATTAAGTCCCTTTTATGCTCACATTATTTCAATTTCATCACATCAGAATATTAAACAGTCCCTCAAATTTTAAATTAATATAAACTATATCCTTATAATCAAGGAATTTCCCAGGGCAATTCTATGTATTTTCAAGGGCAATATTACCATGGGAATTGATCAAGTATAATTATATCCTTTTCCTAGGTAGTTTTTTTACCCTTGAAAAAATTCTTATTTTCTGGGGCTTTATTTTTAAGGCCCTAGGAAATTGCCCGGAGGAAATAGAACCTTTTTTTGACAATGATCATGTTTCTCCTAAATATGCTGTTATTCTTAGTTTAAACAGCAACACGATTTCACAAACTAACACCTTCTCTTTGACAATGATCGTGTTCCTCCTATATATGTTGGAAGAGACTTTATTAGTAGATAAAACTAATTCCCTAATTCTACCAAATATAATGTTGATAGTTTTGGGGTTCTACTTCTCCTTGTACATATCATATCATAATTAGTGGCAAAAGGATTTCCCTTTTATATGACCCATATGAAAGTTTGAGCCTTTGGATTATGTAAGTTAATTTCCTTAAAACTAATTTTAGTTCTAATATCTATGGATCAAGATGTAGTTACCACTAGAACATATTTTTTTTATAATTTTTCAGATCATGAATCAGTAAAAGATACATCTTTATCATCATGTAAATTAACGAATTGCATGCACATATATAGCTTCGTTATGTATCCAGAAAGTTCAAGTTGATAGAGCGTCCATGTTTTTTTTATATGCTCAAACTAAAAATCTCAATTAGGACAATTCTAAAACAGCAGTGTTAGTCTTACAAAGAAACCTACAAAGGAAGTATACAAAGACAATCTCCACCCTTCATCTTCATCATTTCTCTCTTTCTCTTTTTCTATTTATTCTTTATTTTTTTCTTCACTTTATAAACTTCTTTATAGGCTTCTTTATAAGGATAGACTTATTCATTCTAAAAAAGTATGCTTTCTCAAAACAGAAGCATTATACAAGATAGTTACAAGGTTATTCAATGAGCACTCTATCAATTAATGACGTGACAAATAAGGCGTGGTAGTTAGATGAAATGTAAATCTTTTTTTTTTTTTTTAATATATATATATAATTGTCTTTGAGTAGGTCAAGATTTTATTATTCATATTTGCAAATGCGTTTTCACATGGCCTTAAAACAAGTCAATAAAAGTCAAGTCAACCTCTTTTTGACTCAAATGTGTTTTCTCTTCTTTGCTTACCCCACCAACATCCCTTTCTAGCGGCGACTTCATATATTTTTCACTTGATTTGATTTCATATTGTGCAAAGGTTGAAGTTTCTATCACGTATAAAATAGTGTCGGCAACAAATACAACAGTGCTTTCCTGATATGTGTATAAATGTAACACAGAAGAGTTAATAGATAAGAAATTGGGTTCAAGCAGCTTTTCAAATGGTGCCCAAGATTATTATATTTGTTGTTTTCTATGTTTTCCTCTCTCTACAATTGTGCCCTTCAATAGCGCAAACTAATTGGATCAGGGTTGGTTATTACAAGTATTCCTCAAAATACGGATTCCCCATTCCCAAAATTAATTCTGCTTTCTTCACTCACATTGCTTGTGCTTATACAGTTGTGAATTCCACCTCCTACCAACTCTCTTTATCATCAGCTGATGAAGAAAGCTTGTCCATCTTTGCAAAAACTACGAAAAAAAATAACCCATCAGTCGCTATACTGCTATGTGTTGGGGGTAGCGGTGTAAGTTATTCAACCTTTTCTTCAATGGTAAGCAATTCTTCTTACAGAAAATCCTTCATCAATTCCTCGATAAAAGTAGCCAGACTTTACGGTTTACAAGGAATAGACTTCTATTGGAATTATCCAGAGACAAACTCTGATGGGTTCAACATGGGAATACTCCTTCAAGAGTGGAGAGCTGCTATTGATTCAGAGGCAAGAAACTCTAACAACTCGAAACTGATCTTGACAGCACAGGTTTCACATTCACCATCTGTGTCTTCAATAAGTTACCCTATTCAGACGATGCAACAACATTTGGACTGGGTCCATGTTGTGTCTGAAAGTTACACCACTCCTCTCAAGACAATCCTTACAAGCGCTCATGCAGCTCTGTATGACCCAAGTACTTTTGTTAACACAGATTACGGTATAAGAGAATGGATCGATCGAGGATTATCAGCTAATAAACTGGTTTTGAACTTGCCTTTCTATGGCTATTCATGGACGCTCGAGAATCCTGGGAACAATGGTGTTGGTGCACCAGCAACGGGACCTGCCATTTCAACGGACGGATTCTTGACCTACAAGCAAATAAAATATTACATCAAGCAATATGCTCCTGATGTTCGTGTTAGGTACAACTCAACTTATGTGGTGAATTACTGGACAGAGGGAACAACTTGGATTGGGTTTGATGATGTTGAGGCTATTACAGCAAAGGTTTCTTATGCCAAGGAGAAGAAGCTGCTTGGCTACTTTGTGTGGGAAGTCTCTTTCGATGATAATTGGGTGCTTTCTAGAACTGCAGGTAAGCTATGATCAAAAGAAACAAACTACTGTATGCAATCAATACTATCACTCTCCTATTCATTCGAATTATGATCTTTATCCCCGCGCGCAGTAGTTAACATATTGTGTTTTTTTTTTTTTGGCCCCAGCTGGAGTTGCTATAAATGATTCTTCAGTTCACGAAGATAATAAAAATGGACAAAATAATAATTCTTCAGTTCACGAAGATAATAAAAATGGACAAAATAATAATAGGCCTTTGTTATTAATCCTTTTTCCTACAACAGCAGCTGTTGTACTTCTATTAGGAATATTTGTGATATTTTACCGCTGGAGGAGAGATCTCAAATTAAAAGGTCGGTTCCACAGTTTCTTTACAATAAATAAATAATAAGCAGTTTAATGTTTGTGTGTTATTATCATTATTATTATTATTTTCTCTCTCTCTCGGTTGACAGGGATGGTGGGGTTCACTAAAGAATCCGAAGATAAAGCAAATAAAGAGGCATCTGCTTTTAATGGAAATGTTCCCAATCTGATAGAATATACATTGGGTGATATAGACGCAGCAACCAATGGATTTTCAAGTGAAAATAAGCTTGGACAGGGTGGATATGGCCCTGTTTATAAGGTACCTGTAGTAAAGCTATATATTTATCATTAAATATTTAATCTTTAGCTCTATATTTTTGGCATGCTATAATTTTAATTTAACTTTTAAAGGAATAAAAAAGTTCAAAGAATTTAATTTATCTATTGAAAGGTACCAACTAAAGTGTATTTTACTAGGGAATATTATCTGATGGACAAGTAATAGCAGTGAAGAAACTTTCAAAAACATCCATGCAAGGATTTGAGGAATTCAAGAATGAGGTTATGCTTACTGCCAAGTTGCAACATATAAATCTTGTCCGAGTTTTGGGATTTTACATTGACAAAGAAGAAAAGATACTCATCTATGAATACATGCAAAACAAAAGCTTAGACTCTTACCTTTTTGGTCAGAATTTTACATTGAATTTTCGCACACAACATTTCAATATTTTTTTTCCTTCTCAGGGATTAGCTTGGAGTAGTTACAGTCTTGATGATTAACTTATAATTAAATTTGATGCAGACCCCATTAGACGATTTGTTTTGGATTGGAAAAAACGTGTGCATATTATTGGAGTTACACAAGCATTTTTATATCTTCAAGAATACTCAAGATTTATTGTTATTCATCGAGATTTAAAAGCGAGTAATGTCTTGTTAGATGGAGATATGAAGCCAAAAATATCAGATTTTGGCATGGCTAGAATATTTAGTAAAGATGATCTTGAAGCAAACACAAGCCGTATTGTCGGAACAATGTAAGTTTTTATACTTCTAATGCTATATAATTGTCTCAAGATTTTGCATGCCTTATATATTACTTTGTTTTTGTTTTGTGATAATCCAATGCAGTGGTTATGTTCCTCCTGAGTATGCTAGAAAAGGCATATACTCTACCAAATCTGATATTTATAGTTTTGGGGTTCTACTTCTACAAATCATAAGCGGCAAAAGGATTTCCCTTTTATACGGTCCGAATCAATGTTTGAGCCTTCTAGACTATGTAAGTTAATTTCTTTGAAAGCTAATATTGGTTCCAAGACCTGTGTATTAAAATGTACTTACCAATAGAATAAATAATTTTATAATTTCAGGCATATGAGTTGTGGAATGATGGTAAAGGCATGGAGTTTATGGATGAATCACTAGATGATACATATTCATCCTGTAAATTACTGAGATGCTTGCAAATAGCTCTATTGTGTGTCCAAGAAAATCCAATTGATCGACCATCCATGTTGGAAGTTTTCACGATGCTAAAAAATGTGAACACTAATATGATGATTCCAAAAAAGCCTGCTTTCTCGAAACAAAATGAACAGAATAAACATGCAAGAAAGTTGGAAGGTTATTCAGGGAGCACCTCATCAATTAATGATGTAACAATTTCAGATTTTGTAGCCAGGTGAATTATATGCTATTAGCTTTTGAGGTTGGTAATTGATAATTTGTGTCTTGGAATTCTGGCAAACTAAACAGCATTCATCCCTTTGCTGCAGTGTGGGTTAAATTTATTAGGTGTTGTTTTATGTTACCCTATTCATCAATTAACATAATTGTTACTCTAAATTTTCAAATAGCATAAACCAAAAATCTGTGCAACAGAAAGCACATTTATTGGGCAAATGTGCAAAAGCAGAGCATAAATAGAAATTTTGGAAAAGCAGAGCATCAATGGATGACCTTAAAACTGGCGCAAGAAAATATGAACTTGTTCTTTCACCAGAAAAAGGATTTGTTCATCTGTCTCCAACAAATCCTTCTCATCGCTTAACTTCAACAGGCTCCAATATTAAAGTTAACACAGATACCTTCACCATCTATTTCAGCATTTAAAGAATTCATAAAAACAATTTGAAGGACTGGAGCTTTTACTCGGCTGGTGGTTCCGAGGTCCTGGAGGACTAATGCTTTTACTCGGCTGGTGGTTCCGAGGTCCCGGATGACTAATTGAGATTCATGCAAGTTGGCTCGGACGCTCTTGGTCATGAAGAAAAAAAATAATGGTACGAGTATGAAGTTTATAGATAAATCACTAGAAGATACACATTCATCATGTAAATTAACAAGATGCTTGCAAATAGCTCTGTTATGTGTTCAAGAATGCCTAATTGAAAGACCATAAGTATTCTTGATACTAAAAAATGAAACTATAGATATGATGATTCTTAGAAAGCATGCGTTCTCAAGACAAAATGAAACACATAAATCAACAATGCAGTTGGAGGGTTATTCAGAGGGTAATTAATTAATTAATGACGTAACAATTTCATATTTGGTAGCCAGATGAATCGAATAATGAAGCTTTTGAGATTTCTACTGTGTCTTGGAACTCTGACAAGCTAGACATGATTAATTCCCTACCTGCATCCCGTTTAATGAAATAACTTAAAAATCATTGTTTCGCTAAATTTTCAAATAAGATTGACAAAAAATCAGTGAAAAAGAAACAAATTACATGGGGAATTTTGCAAAAGCAGAGCATCAATGGATGGTCTTAAAGCCAGCTCATTCCAATTAATAAATATGAACTTGTTCTTTCACCAGGGAAAGTATCTATTCATCAATCTGCACAATCATCCTCATGGCTCAACTTCAACAGGGTTCCAATATTAATTAAAGCCCACTCTGATACCTTTAACTTCTTTAGAAATAGTACCTGCAAATAAATTGGAAACTCTAGTTAATCCTAATGTGCCTCTTCAAAGTATAATCAGATAATGCATACAAAAATGAATATCCTAAAAAGGGTTATTGATCCAAGATTCTCTTGGAAAGCCCAATTGTTTTTTCTTACAAAGAAAACATTAAGTTAAGGTTTCAGTATTTATGTTAGAATGCAAACACGTTTTGGTAATTGACGAAGATGTTGCGGCCTGAATTATTAGCAATTAAATAAGTTTGATAATTCCAAATAATATGATAATTTCATGCATATGAGTTGTGGAATAAAGGTAAAGGCATGGAGTTTAAGGAAGAATCACTAAACTTAGACTCCTTAAATAGGAAAATTAAGGCTTCGTTTGGTTGGATTTTGGGAATACTACTTTTAGTATTCTCAAAAAAGTTAAACAGTAAAATACCCAAAAACTCACGGCTCCGTTTGGTTCAAAATTTTGTGTTTTTGGGAAAAGTTTTTTGAAAAAAGTTAAAAAAAAAGTTGAATTGCCGCGGATTTACAAATTATAAAATACCCCCTATGTTTATTTTTTTACAAAACACCCCTTATAATAAAACATTAAAAGTTAACAAAAACACCCCTAATCCACCCTCAAATACGGACAGCCGGCCACTACCGCCGGAGGGTGGCCAGAGTCGCCGTAACAAAAACATTAAAAATATTTAGGGGTATTTAATTGAATTAACAAATTTAGGGGGTTTAAAAAATGTTGAATAAAGTTGAATAATATTGTGAGTTTTTGGGTATTTTACTGTTTAACTTTTTTGGGAATACTAAAAGTAGTATTCCCAAAATCCAACCAAACGAAGCCCACAATATTATTCAACTTTATTCAACATTTTTTAAACCCCCTAAATTTGTTAATTCAATTAAATACCCCTAAATATTTTTAATGTTTTTGTTACGGCGACTCCGGCCACCTTCCGGTGGTGGTGGTCGGCTGTCCGTATTTGAGGGTGGATTGGGGGTGTTTTTGTTAACTTTTAATGTTTTATTATAAGAGGTGTTTTGTAAAAAAACAAACATAAGGGGTATTTTAAATTTGTAAATCTTACATCGTAATACCCGTCCAATTCAACTTTTTTTTTAACTTTTTTCAAAAAACTTTTCCCAAAAACGCAAAATTGTGAACTGAACGGAGCCTAAGTTTGGGAATATTTTCTTTACTTTTTCTATTGTGAGTTGAATTAGGAAAGTAGAATTGGTTTATGACATTACTTTGAGTTAAAGTAGGAGAATGAAATTAAATTATGAGAGTCCTATTAAGAATATAAATATGAATCCTATTAGAAATTGAATGTCTCATATATTATCTATAAATATAAAGGTGAGAACCAATTCATGATTATGAGAGAAAAAATGTGAGATCACGAGAATTTTGATGTAACAGTTATTAAACATGACAGGATAGAGTGTCTTAAAAATTGGGATTGCTCCCACCTTATGTAATAGGTTGATGGTATTAAACACTCTTGTGTATCATGTTTATGAAATTATAATAGATTTCTCTTATCCGTAGATATAGACGAGTTATATCTAACCACGCAAATATTGTGTCTAAGTGTGTATAAGATATTCTTCACATATTTTTACTCTAATTTCTAACAATCTCTAGTTCGTTTACTTTGACCGTAAGACTTCTATGGCAAGTGGCAACTCGGTTATTGTTTGCCAATATATTTCCACGACAATTATTAATTATCTCTTTTTCCTTTTAAGGCCCCCACATTATAGCTGGATATATTTTAACTTCTATGCCGTGTCATTAACTGTATGCTGTCAAATCTTTGCTAAAGAAGAAGACCAGAACTTTTAAATGACAACATTAATTAGGTCTACTTTCCCAACCCCAACTACATGAAAGAAAAAGAGAAAACAAAATAGTGAATTGATAGAAGATTTTGAATTTTCTCCTAATGAATAGAAGTCTTTAATTAAGGATCTTGAGATAAGATAACAGCGTATTAAGATTCTCATCCTTGACCGTCCATGTTGGAAGTTTTCATGATACTAAAAAATGAGAATTCTTTTTTTAATTATTCCAAAGAGACCTACTTTTTTGAAACAAAATGAATAAAATAAATTTATAGAACAATTAAAAGAAGATTAGTCAAGTAGCACTTCATCGGTTAATGATTTACTAATTTTAGATCTTGTAACTGGACTAGATGAATTATATAATGTAGCTTTTGAGATTGGTAACGTATGTCCTGAAATTCTCACAAGCTAAAATGGATTAATTTTGTTGCTGAATTGAGTAGGAACATAAAATTTTGGAGTTTATTTAAAGAAATACATACCCTGTTGATTTATTTTGATTTCCCTTTTATGTGATCAGAATGGAATTCCGAGCCTTCTTGATATGTTGGTCTTTTTAATAATTCATCTGAAGGATATGTTGGCAAAATTATTAGCAATAGAATAAGCTTGATAATTCCAAATAATATGATAACTTAAGGCATAGAGTTGTGGACTCACTAAACTTAGGCTATATAAATTCATTTTATAAGTAAATAAATGCTTGCCAATAACTCTGCCACATCAGACATTTACCACGTCAGTCCACCAAAAAACCGGTTAACAGAAACCGGTTTTTTATAAAATATTAAATCATAATTCTTAAATCTAAAAATACAAAATTATATTCATGTTCACGCGCTGCTGCCGTGCTGCGCCCGAGTGCCAACTGTCGGTTTTACGATCTTCACTTCAATCTTCACTCTTCGGGTCCTTTGTATCGTAAGTCCACTAGATAATAGTCTGTTGTCTACAATTCATCATATCTTATCCCCTTCTGGGAACTTCTAAATTTTGTATTTTGTTAAAGGGGTTTTTGTGTTTTCGGCAAATTTTTTCCTCTTCCTCGCATTCAGCTTTGGCATTTTGAGCAGAAGGCTTTGGGGATAGAAGTTTGAATTTGAACAACTGTACGTTTTATTTGCACCCAAATTCGTTCATTATATTTCGTTCGGCAAAGACATGTAGATTTGGGGAAATTTTTTGGTATGTTTTAATTTTTTGAACCACTGTAATTTTTTGTTTGTATAATTATTTCTTTAAGGATGTTGAGAGATTTAAGATCTTGTTCGGGCTTTCATATGGAAGTAAAATCTTTGCATTGCGGTTGTAATGGCATTTACAATATTTGTCTCCGTATTATCCTTTGATAGCAACATTTAACTCACTTCCTTTTGTCTAAACTTTCATGCCTTATTAGCTGGACATCCTAATGCTATGTATTTTCAAAAAGAGATAAAGAGACGAAGGGCATGCAGTTGCTTACTAGTCTATTTTTCTTTTCTGCTTTAATTTGTTGTTGTCTTTTTATCTTTGCTAGACAATTAAACTTCCTTCTTTTGTTGTTGAATGAATTTTGAAATACCTTGCAGCTGGATTTTATATGATGTTTGTGGTTCAATTTTCATCTTTAAGAAGTGTGTCAATGGTGTGTTGTGAATCACTCAATTTTCATCCTTTTATTTAATTTAAATATAAAAACAAAACAAACGGTTCAAAACCGGTTAATCGCCAAACCGAACTGGTAATTATTCAGCCTCTCGGCGTGAACAGCAGTTCAGCAGCTAATATGCCATTGTCACAACAAACGTCAAGTGCTTTGTAATCATCTCAAGACAAATACGTCAAAATGCGGGAGGTAAGTCAAGTAAATTTTTTTTTTTTNAGCATAACTTCGTCACCATTGATTGACCCAAAGAAGTTTTTGTTGTC